GGGAGCGCGCCTGGGAAGTAGTTTTCCAACCTTTTGTGATAGTCTTATGTCGCCTGCCCCCAAAAGCCATTCAATGCGAGTGTATGTGCGTATGCGTGTGTGTGTTCGTGCGCACGTCCAACCGGCACAAGAAGACAGGGGGAAAGCAACCAAAGTACGACTCTGGTTGTATTATGCAGACAATGGTAATCCTATCGGGCTTCCCTGAGCTCAATGCTATTTTCTTAACTGTGGTACACTATTATTCCTGTGGCGAGGGGAGAAGCAGGAAAAAAAATAGTAGATTCGAAGCAGGTGGGGATCGTAGACGGTTTGATCAAATCAGAGGTGTGGTAGGAGGAAGACTGTACAGGTCCAGTCAAAGCACGGACAAGACGGCACAAATGCAGGTTGGTCTGTTCTTATTCGTCTTCAGAGGAGGGCTGAGAACCGCAGCTTCAAGAGTGGAGGTTGAACAAGAGAACTCTAAGAGACCCGTGGGAGATGGGCGAGCGGTGTCGTGTTTGTTGGTGGTGCTGGCAGTGTTGGCGGTGGTTAGGCCTGTTTCAGAGCTGTTGTATCGACAATGCTGGGCCGAGTACAGAGGAAACAAGAGTAGTGTTCATGGCAGTTCTTCGGACCGTTGCAGGAACAGAGATGGCAAAAGAGAGGGCGTCGATCATGGAGAGGGAAAACGCTGGATGGTCAGAGCGTTCAGTTGCGGCCGGGGGTCGATCAATGGTCGATTGAACAAGACAGACGTCGTGATAGTGAAGGTACGCCGGAGTAGGTCTACACTCTGTGCGACGCAAGTAAGAAAAACAGTGTGTGTGCCACGGCTAGGTGTGCGCGGACGTGGCGGCTTTTTGGTCGATTACTGCAAAAGGGGGAGGAGTGCGGAGGCATGTGATGTAAGTCAAGGGCCAAAGAGAACGAGAAAATGCGTCAAGCACGCAGCACACATGAGAAAGAAGAGTGTTGATTTTGTAGATGCAGTTGGTCGAAGTGTTCGTGCGGTCAAGCCGTCCGAGCCGTTCAATTTCGTATGAACAGCGCTTGACATGCAGCGCATTCAACAACAGCTCGTTGACGTAAAGATCAACAAAACGAGAGGATGGCGGCAGGGGAAAGAAATCAAACGAGGTGGGAGAGGGCTTCGGCAGGCACTTTTACATACCTATGAAGAGAGTGGAAGACAGAGAAAGAGGCGGGAGCAAAGGCGGCCCCGTGTCTCCGATTTGTGCTGCCGAATGAGGGGGACGTGACAGTTTTGCAAGTGCGGCGCTCGTGGGAGGATATGTGCGAGTTGCAAGGTTGGCGATAATTGGAAAGGGAGAAACAAAAACAAAAGCCAAAGGAAAGAAAGAAAACACGTTTCAGGGAAAAGAGAAACTGCGAAGGCGGAACAAGGTCAGGAGAAAGAGGAAAAAGAAAGGAGTAGTAAGTAAAGTGAGGGCAAGGACAGAGCAGCTGCAAGAATGCGACAATATGTTGTACAGGAAGGAGCGACAAAGAGGGAAAGAAGCAAGGAGCACACTAGGGAGGAAAGCCCAGGTCCCAGAAGGAAAGCGCAGAATAAACGGGCGGAAAAGATTGGTCAATGGGATGCGGAAAGAGCCCTGCTACTGCCGTCGGAACATGGGTCCCTTCCCGACTAAACTCTTATGACACAGCGAAAAAGAAACAAAATAAAGAGAGGGACCTAAAAAAAAAAAAAAAAAACAGGGGGGTTTGTTCTTCAGCTGCCTTCGCTAGTCGGATGTTAACAGCAGGCGGCCGTTGGAAAAGGGGGGCTCGAAGGGGTATTGCTTGATGGCTGGTAGTTTGGCGCCGGTGCTGAGTCCGGCGAGTTGCGGCCTGCCCCTGATTTTGGAAGGACGAGGAAAGACCGATCGCAGCGATCTCATCCTAGTCGCTCATAACTCCCACGGCACAAAGTACCAGTACTTAGCACGTTTCCTTTAGTGCAATACATGCTATTTCAATAACATGTAGACTGTCGAAGACCAGGGAAGGAGCGATGCCGAGTCAAATAGTGACGATAGATGAAATGAAAGAAAGAGGCCGGGATGCTCTTTCCCAGGTTGATGGGAACCTTGGACGAGGAACTGAGCAAGCGGGACGAGGAAGGGAGAGGCATGCCGACGTCTGCAAGGGAAGGATGCTGCACGGGCTGTAAATATTAAATGCAAATAAGGCTTGCCGAAAAGCGAAGTGTTGTCCCTATACTCACCGGATCGTAAGAAAGAATGAATTAATCAAAAGGTGTGATATATCCGTTGAAGGTGCTTGATCACTTGACGTACAGATAAATATATGTACTGGCGTATTTCGTACGTATCTGGATGTGACTTGTACGTCGTTTTAGGATCGCGATTTTTATAAAACGCGCCATATTTGATGACAAGTGAACCTCAAAGGCTTCAAATTGCCCTTTTTATTTACGTCCCATAACACACACAGCATTACAGTCACGACAAAAAGAAAGCAAGTAGAGTGCGGGCGAAAATGACAAGGTAAAAAGTACCTGTACTTTTTGACAGCTGTCTGGCTCAACTAGCACAAATGTGGCTTTTACGATTGGCCTGTTGTCGGGAGACAGAGAAAAGAAAAGAAAGAAGAAAAGGAACAAAAGAAAAAGAAAAGAAAGAGGGAAAAGAGGAAAATAGCAGGCCCGAACAAAAAGTAAACCGAGAGGAAAGAAGCAAAAGTATCTTAAAACAGAAGCTAAAGGAGGAGGAGGGGAAAATAACGTTTGGAGGGAGCACAATGTATGTTGTACTCTGTATCTTACATGTACTCCTTACAAGATCCATCAACAAGGGTTGGCGATGGGCCCTTGGACCTGGAGACACTAGCAGCCCCTGTTTTCTCTTTCTCTCGCCATCCCCACTCTGCATCCTACCCATACCCCTGTAAGGCACGCCAGACCAAACTAACATGAACAGAGTAAAGGCTGCTTTGCTTTTCTGTGGTATTTGTCGCGAAAGAGCGCAATGGTAAAAAGCAAGGATGTCTCTGGAAAAGATTTTGCAACACGCGAATTTCTCTGTTGTTCGTGCCAGGCACCCGGCCCCCTCAGCAAGATCCTCCTCACCATGCATGTTGAGTGATTGGGCCCGAGCGCCCTCACCGTTCCCCTGGTCGACAACGTTGCTTTTATGCTCCCCTTGTTCCCAAGCATACTTCATGTGCGTTGCAGCGCCGTACTCTTGGGGAGGTAGTCATCCTCCGTAATTCCGTGCCTGTTGTCGCTTTTCGTGGGAAGCAAAGAAGAAGAGAACTGCAAATCTGTTTGCTCCATGTCGCCGTGTCTTCTTGCTTTCGTGTTCCGCAGACCATCGGGGAATTGGAGCCTGTACTCTAAAATGCGAGTATATCGTAGAGGCTGCAGAGGGCGAGGGAAGGCCATACCAAAGATAAGAAAAGAGTGAAAGCAAATTTGTGGCTTCCATTTCCAGCTTCATCCGAACACAGTGGCGCCAACGTCCGGCGCCAACTTTTTTTTTTTCGCATGCACAGCTCCACGCTTCCAGCTGCGTGCAGCTCTGGGCGCAAACTATCTTGCGAAGCACATGCACGCGGCGCAGTCTGTTTCCCAGTGTGGCTAAGGTGTAACTGGACATCCCATGGCTTTCGCAAACGTCCTCCGTCAACCTGGCACCTGGTGATGCCATAATTTCAAGATCTGACATTTTCTGGGGTGAAAAGACATGTCTTGCTTTGCACCGTCTCCGAGCGTTGCACAACAGAAGCGGTTGCAACGCCCATGCCGTCGGGCCGTTACCTTGTCTTACCATTGGACTCCAGCCAACCGTTCTTCAACCAACAGACAAAACGGTCTGGCGCAGGCGGTGGGTTGCCACTTCGACGCCCGAGCCTGGCCACTATGGTTACTTTGGCATTCACCGTCCTGCCGGTATTATTATCGGTGCCGATGCCAATGCCGGCCTTTTTGCTACCTTGTTCCGTTTCTGATAATACTCTGTAGGCATTTCTTCTGTCGTGCCATGTATTGCACCCGTACTGAAGATACAGTTGCCCCATGCGTCTGCAATCGATGGAAGGCAAGAAAGAAGTTCTTTACGGAGTAGTCTGCAAAATAACGGCCGTGCCACATGTGGTGTGCGACCTGTCATTGGGCAACAGGAGTGGCCGATAAAATTAGCTGCGTTGTGCTAGTTTGGTTTTCTACAGCTGCGCGTCCAATACTCAACTGTCTGATGCAAGGGGCAGAGGTGATGTACCGTAAGGGCTTCCTACCCAGCGCAAGCCGATGGTTTTGCAACTGACTATTGAGTACTCCTTACTGAATACACAGTCTTGCCGTACCTACAAAGTAGGCAGAAAGTCACTAAAACCGGGGCATCTTGACACCTGCCAGAAGATGATATGACATCCCCGAACCATTCCTAGGAAGTAGGGGAAGAAGGACAGCATGACACCTGCGCCGTGGTTAGGGCACCCACCTGCCACGAGGCTTCTCGGGAAGGAATTGCCAATCACGTTATCATATGGCGCTCGCGTGTCCGGTCCGTTTTGTTTGATTTGGGGTGTTCATGTCGCTAGAAAAACGTGGTCTTGGCGGAGCACGACAGACGGTCGACAGGCCATTACCCCAGCAGGATGTTTTTAAATTGGTCTCTCTTCTTTTGGCGTCGTGTTTTGCTGGGACACGCGTCATTGCGAAAAGCACCATTTCCTCATATTGCCAAACAGCCGGCCCAGCCATCCCCTCGGAGTAGTGTTGGGGTATGCGATTAATGTGAGAAGTCTGCATGGACCACATACGTCGTACTGTAGCGATTAGCACAGAGGAGGCCTGTTTTGCTAGCAGGCCATGTGGCATTCACTTTTTAAAGACGTTGTCCTCGGAGAGATACAACCTGCGGTCCGAATGCAACTACCGGAATCGCATCCGAGGAACGCGTTGTTGCCCGTTGCTTGGGTCCGCCGAGAGCGTAGGAAATGAAGCTGAGATATGACAGGCGATTGGATGACGAGGAAGACACACAGCGAAAATGGCATGGGGGACAAGAGTATGCAAGACGGAGCGCGCCATTACAGCTCCTGAACATTTCTCCAGGCAGGTGCGCGTGGCGAGGCAGGAGGAGGAAGCGGGGCATTCAAACTGTGAGCCCAATTCAGAAGGCGAAAGGGACAAGCTATCGTGGGCCCCTTCTAAATATGCGTTGAACCACGCATCGTTCGCCCGACTAGGAAACGACAATGGGAGTGAAGCCTGTCATGCGCGTAGCGTGGAGCAACTCCTGCACCAGGACCAGAGAAGAAAGGGGGAACAAGGTTGCTGACATCGTGCAGAATCGCCCGAAATGATCCCGGTTTCCCGTATTCTGGATGCGCACTTCCTGATGAGCCATGAAGCATGAACCCTACAACAAAACTCCGTTCGAAGCAATCGCGGGCCTATCTCGCACTTGCCAAGTTCCTGCCCTTGTATGGTGCCTTCTTGTTCTGAGCAATTACGATGTACATACGGACGTGTCACAGAAACGGAAAGAGTGATCCTTCGTGCTAGTGTGCTAGTGTCAGCTGTGTCATCTGCTACGTCCGTGTATCAACGCCGCCCAGTACAGATGCCTATTTCGGCACACTGCATGGGCAGGAGCGACTTGAAAACTCCACACCTTTGTTGACAACGACAAGCAAGCCAGATCGAGAAGGAACGAGCAAAGCAGCCCACTCTTCCGCCATCTTCCCTTGCGTCTAGAAAACATCCTTTTCTAAAACGTTCTAGCCTCCGAGTCTGCATCATATCGAGCCATTGTTTACGGAGCACGCCGAACTTCCACACCCCTTTCCACCCGACCACCTTGGGATATCGACGGGGTCTGTATGGCGTCTGTTGGCTGCCCGCAAAATATGCGGTTGTTTGCTCCTCTCCGCAAGGAGAGCTCGCCTATCAAATGGTTGATTCTCCAGATTCCGAATCTCAGGAATGCGAATATTGGCGGTGTCGAAAACACTGTGGTCACCACTCGATGGAATCGGTTGTATGGCCTTGTCAGCTTGCGTATAGCAACGCTGTCGTCAACGTGTCAATATGCTGCTAGCGAGCATCACCGTTCACAGGTTAATGTCGGTGACATGTCCGAGACGACACTACGGTGTGGGGGGAGAAAAGAGGCATTGGTCTGGATTTTTTTCGTGGTGGCAGTCGTACACAACCACGCTAGACGACGCATTGTCCGAGCATGCTTGGTCTGCCTCGTCGTCTCCTCGGCCAATCACCACCTAACCGGCCCTTGGAATCGCATTCGAAGATTCGCCAAAGATGTAGAGGTGTTTCGCCACACACTTTTGGCATATTGTCAAGCGACCGTTGGACCACACCGCTTTGAAGCACGAGAAGCTCGGGCACACTACCTTGAATTTATCCAGGCGTCGGACAACCCCTCACATTGCCCATCCAGTCTACCCACAACACACACATGACGCACCATCCCGAACAAGAAGAGATCAGCCGCGCATCAGAGCTCTGAGCTGTCCCCTAGCCACTTTGGGTGGAAAGCCCCTTACGACATACGGGGCTTGCGCAGAGGCCAAGCTCTGGCCGTTTGTGGTTTGCATGTCCCCTTTCTTTCCCACCCAAAAAAGTCACAAAACCCCACGGTCGAAAAGGCTTGACTGATGGGTCAAAGAGAAAGACCCTGGCCGCATGCGGCCCGCTGAAAGAGAAGCCGTCTATGACAAGTGGAAGAAGTAAAAGAGGACCGAATGAACACAAAATGGTAACCGCAGTTTTGGGGAACATGAAGAAAACCTGAAAGCCATAAGAAGAAGAAGAAGAAGAAGAAGAAGAAGAAGAAGAAGAAGAAGAAGAAGACGAACCATCAACTCAGAAAGAGGATGCTTGGTACAGTTGCTCGCTGATGCGATGTACACCGGAGTCTGATTCACTATCAGCGTCTTTGGCGGATGACGCTGGTCGCTTTCGCCTTGACAGTGCGATGCAGATTGGGCAGGTCGATATTGTCATCACAATCAACAACCGCCAGGCCATTCGTCCAACTACATCTGTTAAAGGAGGGAATATAGCGCTAACCATGTGTTATTTCCTACAAAGTTCCAGGCACCGAAGCATCCCAAGAGAAAAAGGTATCTATCTGGACAAGGGGGGAAAGAATACGGCGTCACTATTGACATCATCTCCCTTGCCACCAAAAAGGCTTTCACACCCGTATTCATGCGTGCCGAACATCATCCTACGGAACACGGAGTAAAAAGTTCGAGGTCAAGTCACGCGCACCTGCTACTTCGCCCGCGAAACGAGAAATCAAAACGAGAACGAAAGGCCATCGACAACAAAAATGTATTCAATGCCTGGTGATTTGTTGACTTCCCGAATGAACGCTTATATTACAGAGCAAAAGCGTCCTGATCCAAAGCACAAACCCAGTGTCCGTCACAAACAGCCAAGAAAGCCGAGCATGAAACGCATGACCAGACCAAGACACCCAAAGCCTACCTGCTCACAAGTACCGTCCAGCTCCAGGGGCCAACTGCGCATTCAAACAAATTCAACTGTTCTTCCTTTTCGAGTTGCCCCTGAACGGCCTGGTAATACTTCGGTGGGTTTTCGAGACAGCGGTGCTAGCGCAATTTTATTGAATTTTTTTTTAAAGAAATTGACAAGTGTGTTATTCAGTATGTTGTACAGCCACTGTCTGCAAGGCTAGGGATCCCGGCCCAAAATACCTGGTTTGCCCTCTACGGGGTAGTCTGTGCTGAACTGACATTTTTTCTGCGAAGAACCGCTCTCAGACGGGAAGCTCCCCTCAAGTCTCCCCTTCCATTGCGACACTTAAGTGGCACTGGGGCATTTCTGCCGGGTTCCCGACTTTCCATGTTTGCTAGAGGCAACATCTTATCATGGCCCTGGACGGCGCTCGCCTGGAAGAAATTCGGAACCCTGACAGTTCTGAGTCATGTGCGGAGAAAGATTGAGAAACAACAACATTTTCAAACATAAGGAGTATAATTACGTTCGACATATATGTTAATGTTCTTCGGCAAGCTTCACATTCAGCAAACGAATCCTTTAAGAGACCATCTCTCTTTCATCACAGCCACCCTTTGACATGGAGGAAATGGGACGGAACGCAACCCGAGCATAGGCAAGATACACGAATTACGAATTAGCTGGCAACCGGACACTGCACGGCGAGAGATGCAGATGCAAAACACAAATGCAAATAAAGAGCGATCCAGCCTGCCAGCCTCGATCACTCAACCCCGAAGGGGGCTCTGATCGGCAATATGCATCTCAGTGGTCAAACGTGCGGGCGACGTTCTCTCTGGCCCTTGGTCTTCAAGCCACTCCTCGGAACGCGCGCCGTTTATCGGCTTGGCTGTTGGCTGTTCTTCATAGAACACTGCAGCACATCGACCGCCGCTGTCGATCTTCGCCTATTCTGCTTGGTTTATAACGGCCTACCTCATCCACATGCACTTGGCTTTCAACGGCGCGGCTGTGCCATTTGCCTTTGGCAGCCTTCTCTTGCCAGGCTGCTGTTTCCATAATCCCCATCACCTTTTAAGGTTTCCAGCGCCATTTAAGAGTTTTTTGCGAGGCACTACTGGCCGGAGTTGTGAGTGCAAAAAAAGACACGAAAAGAAGAAGAAGAAAATAAAACGAAATGTCTCAATCGTTTTTGTCTCTGGGATTCTTTGTGGGAGAAACAGGAGAGAAATGCCTTCCCAGAGATCACAGACGCCTTCTCCACCGTTGTTCAAACGTTCTGCATATTTTTGTGTGCGGTCTTTAATGAACCACCATTCGAAATGCTATTCCAAGACGACGGGGACAAGGGCAACCCAAAGTTGTGCAGCCTTATGCCCCTGCCTGCTGGCCTCGACCTAACTGGAGAAGGAGGAGAGAAAGGGGGAAAACAAGAGCGAGACGCCGTCGACATAAAATGAGACCCTAGAATGGTGAAAAAAATGCTTGAGGATGTACGCAGTCTGGCAGTCATCCCCGGCAGAACCAGCAGGACCAGGTTCCTGTTGCAATGCAGCGTTACATTATTGCTGGGATCTCGAGCTCGGCCCATGAAAAGGAGAAGGGAAAGAAACGCAAAACATGAACAGCCTACGGCGAAACCTCCTTGGCATGACCAAATGAACAACAACAAAAGCTAATTGACGAGCAAATACTTCTGGGCGAGATTCCTGTTTCTTTTGGCCCCCACCAGAGAAACACTGAAGATCTGGAGTCCAACACACATACGAATCGCTTGAAATTCTTCCCTACCGCGCTTCGTGTAAGAATGACGCTGTCCAAGTCGCTGTTCAGCGAATGTTATGTCGTCTTGGAAGAAAAAGAAATCTTTCGCCGGGGCCATAAATCAATATCTGCTGGTTGGATGCATTTCTTTTGTGGTGGAGCTTGCTGTGCTACGACATATAACTCGTGCCGCATATTGACGGAGTTTCTACAGGGGTGGAACAGACTGAGAAGATACCCGAACTGCGATGCCCTTCATACCGACAAGGTGTGACAAGAGGCACAAGGTAAGCCGGAAGAACCATACTAGAGGCCCCATGTAATATTCCGTGCGTCGGAAGGTTCTGCTCGAGACTGGTCCAAAGCAACGCCTGGCCAGGCCACAAAACCGACCCAAGCCCAAACCAACCCGGAGACCTAGCAGTCGTACCCGCGTCGATGTTGTTCCTCTCGAAAGCATCTAGTTCTTTAGTCATGGTTTCGACGGGAGGCTTCTAAATTTGCGTCGTAAGAACAGAACGCAAAAAAGCACCAGTATCGGAATGTGGTCAGACCGCCAACGGCGCCACGCAACTTCACAAGGAGCAGTAAGGACAACCCTACAGATACCAGACAAAGGTGTTATACGCCGGTCAATAGCCAGGTTTGCCGAGCACGGTGCAGTTGTCCACAATCTAAGTTCTCTGTGCTTTTTCAACTCACCGTCCTGGCATAGTCGTCCGCGTCTTTGTTTGTTCTGTTATCTTCTACGTCGCCCTTCACTCAACTCAAAACGACGTGTGGTTTCTTGATCGGGACTGAGGCATTCTTGTTCTGCAGCCCAAAGTCTGTGCCCATCTGTGCTCTGTCTGTGCCAAAGCTGGTGACTTGCGGGAAGAGTGTGGAGGCGCTCCCGGCGGGAGTCGACGACTAATGTCGTCGGCCAAAGTGGCGAAAATGAAGAGATCCGAAGAGAAAAAAGAATAAAAAACGAAGGAATAAAAAACGAAGAAAGAACTAGATGTCGAACAGCTCTGTGTGGGTGTGTTTTGGTCACTAGAAACTGCCAGCTCTACGCCGTATTTCCAAGACGTAATGGCGCACCTCTCGTGCAACATCCCCCCTACTCTCGCATCAAATCCCTGTGCCTCTTTTCCTTTCTGTCGTGTCCATCGAATTATGATGGGCGACAAGAAGTTGTCGAAGATGTAGAGACAGGACAGAAAACGAGAAAAAGAAAGCACAAACGACCATCCGACGGCCATCCAGTGGACATCCACAAGCTCGGACGCCTCCGGAGTTTTATCTGGTCAACTTCGTCTTCACTTTTGTCATATTTTCAAACGCATTAAGTCTGGTAAACAGGAAGCTGAAATCAAGGGCTACTGACGTCTCGACATAGTTACGAATATCCCGTTACGGCCTGTGTCTGGCCCTTGCTGGTCAAGGTTTTCGCCCGTCTGCTTTCTTTTTCTTCATTCTTCTTTCTTCTTTACTTTCGTTTCGGGTGAGAACTGACATGCTTCTCTTCGGGTAGAACGTGAGACACCAATATACGGCGTGCTTGTACTTGAAAATGCTGAAATGACTCCAGGATTGCATGACTTGTCGAGCTTCCTTGTTTCTGCTTTCTTTTTTCTTATCCCATGCAGGCTGGCTGTGCCCTGTCTTCCTCCGTCGACTGCCGCCTCACCAAGTCGAGCCGGGGCCCCGAAAAAGGAAAAAAAAATATCGCTCGACAAAAAGAATGGTTACTAGGATGATCCGCTCTACATACAATGTCGGCACCTCACCGTATTTATTTTTTGTGCCAAATATTTCGAGCCCCCCACGCAGGGCGGCAAATACGACGGGCATTCTTTACAGAAAGCTTCATATTTCCTCATTTCACCTAACCGACCGAACCAGCTTCAACATGGTGATTCTGGCGCCCCTGGCGCTCCCGATGCCCTCGGGGCCGAAATCCGCTGCGCATTTTCTGCGTCGACGAGGGGGCGGTGGAAGTCCCAACAACCTGGCGTTGGGATTTGCTCTACGAGATCATATCAAGTCGACGAAGCCGATACAAGATGCGTACGACAAGTCTCCATATATTCCATTCCCAGAATAGAAAAAGAAAGGGGGCAAGCAATAAAAGAGATGCCCGTGGTGACCAACGGGGGCGCCATCGGCATGCGTTACGGAGTATTTACAAGTCATTTCTCGTGAGAAACGAGTTCAGAAACGCGAAGGGCACGCCTTACGAAGCACTCAATACTGACACATGGGGTCTCCCCTCGAGAGACATCATGATAGACATCTGTCGGTGTCGTAGTCAGCTGCTGGGACTCGCTCAGTCGTTTCGGCGGAGCCAGCCTCTGATGAAACAGGTCGTCCTCGCCACAAAATCAGATATCATATCCAGTACGACGCACTCATCAATCAATACTTGGAGCCGCAGTCCTCTTCCGTACGCCGTAAGCGGCGAGATATTGGCATGTCGTACTCTGATGGGCGACTAGTGATGTGTGATATCCAGCTTCCAACGAGACTGTCTTCTGTCTCCTTGCGAATTTGTGAGTTTCTGCGTCATTTTTCATCCTCGCGCTCTTTCGCTGCTTTGTCTTCTCAATTTTCTAGCTCGTTTTTGTTTCTTTTTCCTTCTCGCATTCTCTCTTCCCTTTGTCTTGTGTTTCGCCAGTCCCCTCTTTACTGCAACTTTATGTCGTAAAGCCCCTGTCCGCCACTGCAACGGGACGCAATGGCAATGAAACGGTGACATTCTCGGGGGCGAAGGATGCGCGAGCCAGAAAGCAACGGGAAAGATACAAGGTACATTCTCACACACCCGCGGAAGAGGGACGGGAGGTGGAGAAGAAAAGACGGTGCAAAAGCGCCGGGCAAGAAAACAGAAGAAAGTGAAAGAACCAAAAAAAATAAGGAAAAGAAAATATGTAGGACTCCTTACAACGTACTTCTCACACCAGATTCTGACAACCGTGGCATGAAAGGACTCTTCCTTCTGCTTTGGGAAATCACATCACCCAGAAGCACTGCGACAGCAAGAGCGACGGCGAGTTGGGCGGAGTGTCCCGTCGATGTGAAATAGCACGTCGCGTCGACTGAAACGGAAGGACAGAAGGGGGAGGGCGGGGGGGGGGGGGGGGGGGGCAGGGCAATAGCTCGTTTTGCCACAGCATGGAAGATACATGAAGGCGAATTGACGACAGCAAACTACAGGATAGTGTATTCATCCAAACAATTTTCAATGGTAATATGAGAGCAACCTGGCTACGGGTGCTGGCTGAGATTGTGTCTCTTCAATATGGTTCGCTTGGGTGTGTTCGCTCTTTTTCTTTTCTGATTTTCCTTTTTTTCTTAATTTTAAATGAAAAAAAAAAATTTCGATCACACGAATTTTCCAATGCGTTCTTGCTTTCCGCCTAGTTCCGCCTCCTGGTTGCCTTGTTTTGTTTCAAAACATCGGCTGAGGTCGCTGGATATTCAAGCCCTGCTCCTGCGGAGGCGATATGGATCGGCCTTCGATATGGATCGACAGCCTCAGCAAAGCGGAGCAGCGACCAACAGCCTGAAGTACGATGTAATTCCCTATGGGTATCATATGGTATTCGCTTCAGGGTCTGTCCACGGTTCGATAGACATCAAAGGAGAGAAGGACATACTCCCTAAAAGGTTGTTTGCGTACTCTGTGAGGAGTGCATTAAATAAAATTATACATAACAGCAAAATAAAGGAGAGCAAACAATCGTATTTTGGCTGTATTTTCGTTCGTCTCATATTTCAATCGTATACCGTGGTGACAGAATCTTGGTCAGTCCTTGACCCAGCTTATCCCGTCCCAAGGACATGCTTTAAAGTTCGCGGACGGGCACAACATGGATTGCCCTAACTGCAATGGTTAGAAAACTGGTACAAATTCATAGCCTGCCATAAAAAGTGGTCGTGCTCATGAAGATGTGACCAAAAAGAGAAAGGGAAACATAATGGCAAGTGAAACAACGGCTATTAAGTTTTGATACGTGTACGCAAAGCAGTGGTGATTTGAGTAGAGTGCAAAACCCTCGAGCTTGACTTTCTACATAAAGAAATGATTAAGGCGTGGTCGAGCATCATGTAACGTAACGAAACTCTTAAGTGAGATAAAAAAATTCAGTAATTGCAACAAAAGATATATATAAAAAATCAAAATCCTTCTACATATCGAGGCTACAAAATTCTCAATCAGTATTCATAGTTGAAGGCAACCGAGGCAAAATATCCCACGAAACAGAACACGATATGATTCCTACAGCCAGCACGTAATTTTGACAAGCGAAATAAGGACG